GTAGTGAGGGTGAAGGGCGAAGGTGGTCTTCGGAGGTGAAGGGCGCTGTGTGGGTAACAGGGAAGAGTGTGGGTGAAGAGGACACGTACCTGGTGGAGGTGGAGGTCGGCATTGGTGTTGACATCATCACTCGCTGGTAGTCAAGTTGTCTGGTTGCTTTCATTGCTGTAGTTGTAGGATAGTCTGTAGAGTAGATAGTGCGCCTGGCGCCATTCACAAGAGAGAGCTACATTTGGGTTATGCTGTTGGTGTTGCCCTGTTAGGCATGGACATTGACTCACGATTCTTCTGTATCATTCTCAATTGGATGGTTACTCGGTTCCATTGTACTATCTGCTTTGGCTTTGACTACTTGGACTTCAGTGTGATTTTGCATTCTGGATTTCTGTGCTTCGTCCATATTCATGTTTCTTGCAGAGGGGTGCCTGCCCACATGCAGATAGCCTAAGTCTAGACAGGTAAGAGGGATCATGGCTTGGCCTAATTGGGGGTTGAAGTGGTCATACAGGGTAGGTCTTAGGAAAGCTGTGAATTGAAACTACCTTTGTTGAGTCTCTGATCTTTTCTTACTGCTTCTGTGCAACTGCAGGAGACCGGGAAGGTTGAGACCACATTCAGCGGGCACTTGGATTACCTCCACTGTTTGGCAGCTAGACCAACTCAGAACCAGGTATGAAGTCAGCACTGATGTTCGGCCAGGAGCTTGATTTGCATGGACATCTGTGGGTGGCAGGACGTGTGGATGCTTTTTGGTGGGTTGGGGTATCCTTTGCTCAGGTTTGGCTTCTGCTCCACTCGTTTTCTCTTCCCAGATTCTCCACCAACGGTTTATTACACTTTATAAGTCCAGATGAGCGTGGTTTGTGATTTTGCAAATGTTATGAGGGATAATCATATAATTGCAGTAACCCTGTTCAGAAGTAGCCTGGGGCCCAGAACTCAGCCCCAGGCAACGCAGACCTGAGTTAGTCTGCGCTGGGCTGTGTGACCAAGACACGCCCAGGCCTGAGTCTGTCCCGTTGGCTGTGTCACCAAATGCTGCACACAGGAAATTCAAAGGTCAAAGTCAACTGTAGAGTCAAAGGTACCGCACCCAGGCCCTTGGTTGGATACACTCACTTGTTGTGCTCAGGTACCCAGACAAGCATCCAGGCCGGAGGGAAATCGGTTTCAGACCAATCTAGGCCTTACTTGCATCAAGCTCTGGACGGCTGAGGGTGGCAGCATCGGGGGTCCAGACCCCGAGTCAACGCTACTTAAGCGTTGACTTCCCTGGCTTTGACATTCATTCTGTCTTGCGTTGATGCTGACTACACGCGTTGACTCCAATGCTGGCTCGACGCTGCGAAGCTGGCTCGATGTTGCGACGCTGGCTCGACTCTGCGACGCTGGCATTGTGATTTGGCGAGGCGCTGCTGGTCCGGCATGGTGGCTGGCTTGCACCTGTCTTCTTGGCATGCTGACGTGGCAGCTGCCCTGCGCTGTCGCTGATGTGGCTGGTGCCACGTGTATCATTGGCTGACGTGGCTGCTGCCACGTGTTCTTCTGTTCGCTGACGAAGCGAGGCTACATGACTTATATTGCTGTTCTGATTATCGACATTTGGGAGGAGATCGGGACTGTGGAGAGATCGTGGATACGTACCTGGTTGTCTTCATGCCGACATTGCTCCAGCGCTGACGAGGGACTGATTAGACGTGCCACGTGGCACATTGAAGTTACTTCAGATACTCGTTCAGACTATTGATAATAGAGGTGGTGATTGAGGTGGGAGCCCGAAGCAGGAGTGGGTCTTGTATTCTTTCCCTCTCCTTTGTCTAATCTCCCTCCTCTCTCCTTCTCTGTGTATGATTATCACGTCTCATTCTGTCTGGACACGATTTTGACTATTGGTAATTATCAGCTGGTTGACATTCTTCTGGACTTGCATTGTTGACGACTGTCTTCACGATCCGGGTTCATTGCATAATGCTGGTTGCATCCGATTTTCATCTATGCTGTTTGCTGCAGCTCCCCATATGTTACTTGGACAAGGACCATAGCAACTTTCTTGTTTTTTTTTTTTTTCAAAAGAAAAAAAGGAAATTCATTATAGGCTGGGTACCGGGCTCAGCGTCCCTCACATCTTTCACTGTGCATAGCAACTTTCTTGTTTCTTCTTTCCCAAGTGAAAACTGATGGACCTTTCTAATGTGGTATACCTGACCTCCTCGTCTGCGCAAGTCATTACAAAGGACAGATAGTGCGTACATATTATGCCACCCCATGTCATAGCAACTTTCTTGTTGCTTTTTTCCTAAGTGAAAACCGATGGGCCTTTCTACTGTGGAACACCTGGCCTCCTAGTCCGTGCAAATCATAACCGAAGACAAAAATAGTACATACACATGAATGCCACTCCATGTTACTGCCTTGAATGGTTCATCTTTCCTGACTGATTTGTTTCAATGGTCATCATGGCTACTCTGTTTTTTGGACAGATTGTCACAGGGTCAGAAGATGGGACTGCTCGTGTTTGGGGTATGGAAAATCTCTTATTTACCGTCCTCTTTCCTGCAACATACTCGCCCGCTTCCTCTTATTTGACATCTGAGACATCTCCGGTAACGTCTACTCTTATTTGTGTTGGATATCAGCAAAAGGAGGAGAGGGAGGCGGGAAGGTTTGCTATTGTCTATGATGTGTAAATGTGAGTTCTTCTGCATCTTTTTTCTTTGTTGTCTTCATGGGTCTCCCTATTGTGATGCACCCTGCTCACAAACGTTGTGGGCTCATTGCTATTGTGAAAGAGTAACTTCTATGTGGGCGAGAACAAGGAAGATAATATTCTTGGGCAATAATGGCAAGTGTAAATGAGGACTGGGGCATGAGGAAGGTGACTAAGTGATGATGAGGGGGTAAGAAAACCATGTCTGAGCATGGAAGGCTCAATGATATTAAAGTCAAGGATAAAGACCTTCATTTGGTGTTAAAGTCAAGGATAAAGACCTTCATTTGGTGTTAAAGTCAAGGATAAAGACCTTCATTTGGTGTTGGCGAGATAGCCAGGTTGGGCTCAAGATGATGCAACTTGATGTGACGGCCATGCTTTTGGGTGGAATTAGGGTTTTTCAGCTCCTACTACTAGTGAAACGGTATTCACATTTGTTGTAGCAGTAGCAGTTCCCAGAGCTCGATCCCCAGACCTCGCCCTTACTCGTGACAGTATCAGTTGCCCTGTGTGTGTTTGAACCCGTGAACTGTGTCTTGAGAGTCGTTTGTTTGTTGTTGTAGGTAGGTTGGTCGTTGGTTCTCGAACTGTAGGTATGTAGGTTAGAAGTCTTAGCAGTGGCAGGAGTCGTAGCTGCTACAGTCCCCGTGTTGCATACCGTAACGGTACGACCCCTCTCACATAGTACAGGATAGCGCAGCGGAAGGCTAATATACCAATGATCAGACCAATCAATGTCGCAATGCAGACCAAACATACATCATCATCATCGCAAGGTGTGAAGGGCCTGGCGCTACACACAGGAAGAAGGTGCCAGGTCCAGACCATACATAGACGAAGAGGAAGGGGGTCAGACGAAGAAGAGGGGGAAGATGGGAATGTCATCAACACCAAGTCTTTGATACAGGCCCCAAATAAGCCCTCGTCTAATGTCTCGATCCCAATGTCGAGTCTGAATCCAAATGTCGTCAAGTCCCAAAGTCACCAATCTCTCTCTCTCTCTCTCTCTCTCTCTCTCTCTCTCTCTCTCTC